GTCATTAATTTTTTTTTATAGCTCTTATTCTTAATTTTCTCATCATAATTTGTTATTATATTTATCTCTACATCATTTGTTTGGCATCTTTTTCCCTCTATCTTAGTAATTATCACTTTTTATTAATATTTTATTTATTTATATTTTTTTCTCCTATTATCATTCCAATTCTATTATTATTCATTAATTATTTTCCTTGTATCTTAATGTATTGTTATTTGTATCTTTATTTTTTCTCCCCCTTCTTTATATTAGAAATGTTTTATATCAAAGTATAAAAAGTATAACTTCTTAACATTATTATCTCGGTATGATTTAACTTGCTTACTCCACTTTTCATTAATTTTCTTAAGTTTCATCTTTTAGTTTACACTTTGTAATTTATCATTATATAATATATACATATATACATATATATCTTTTTACCTTATACTCACGTTCACTTTCTTTCCCCATATTAGTAATTTATATGTTATTATTATTTTATCTCATTTATCTTTCCTTCTATATATTTTTTTAGTAAAATCTTTCATTTTATATTATCTTTTTTTGTCACTTATTGTATCTCTATTTATTATTATATGTCTTTGGTTACTCTAATTTTCTTCTACCTCTTACTATCTATATTAAAAATGTTTTAAACCAAAATATAAGTGGCATGACTTCTTAACATTATTTTTTAATTGTTTGTTACTTATCTATATACCTCATGAATCGCAATACGCCTTATACTCTTTTAGAAGTTGTCTTCAACTATTGTCATCATAATCCTCCTTTTAGTTCCCTTTTTCTATTTTTTTTTTCTCTTTTTGATATGAGAAATCTAGTATCCACAATTCAATAAAAGTTTTAACAAAACTTCAATACAAAATTGACCAACTTTCCTTATAGTACTTTTAAGGTTGAATTCTTGTACATAATTTGATGCAAATTTATCTTTGATTTTATTAATATTTGAATGGATTTAATATGATTTAATTCAAATTTAAATTGTTTCCATTATTTGTGTAGGATATGATATAACTTTTAAAATTATAAATTTGGAATTAAATCACAATGTTCCTCAAAATTAAAGAATGAATAAAACGGTGAGAAAGGGGAGCAAATTGTAGAATTATGAAATCCGAGGAGTAGAGTACAAAAATTTTAGAAAGTTGAGGACCAACATTGTAATTTACATTAATGAAAAGTTGCCGGCCAAAAAAATGGAAAAGAAACATGAGCAGTAGTAGGGGCACTCGCCTCTCGCACTCTCCGGCCAACACTTGCCCTGTCATTGGGCCACGTAAGCTTGTTTCAGCTTGGAGTGCAACCTCTTACCGACAAGAATAACGTGGCCCAATAAAAGTGAAAGTGTTTGCCGGAGAGTGCAGAAGGCGAGTGCCCCTAGCACTCCTCAAGAAGCAAAGTCCAGTGGGGAAATAAATGGTGAAGGTGTCGGTACTTTTCTTCTTCTTCTTCTTCTTCTTTTTTTCTCTCTTTTTCTTTTTCTTTTTTTTTTGTCCATTTTTATAAAGAGAAAAATAAATTGTAATCTTAGTGCTTAAAGAAATATCAAATCAAAGTCTATAATAAACAAGTGTGAAGAAAATTAAAAAAAAAAAAATTAAATTTTATTAAAGTTGAATTTTTTTTGTTCTATTTGATAATAGAGTATATAAAAAGGGGGATTTTTTCCTTTTTCAAAATCTTTTCTTACTTAACTTAAAATTTGAACCTAAAATTTTCAATGTAAAATCTCATATTTTTAATTAGTTAAATAACCCTATTAGGGTAAAGTTGAATAATTTGTATATATGTTAGACATATATTAATATTTTATAGATATATTTTAAAAAAATTCTATTTTGTTTTTATTGAAAATTTTTTTTAAAATTCATTAATTAATTATTGAATTTTTTAAAAAAAAACCCAATATATATTTATTTAAAAAGTTTAAAGTGTTTTGTTATTATATTAGTTTAATAAAATATATAGTTAAAAGGTATTATTCTAAAAAAGGATAAATTCAAAAAAATAATTTCAAAGCAAGGTCAGTTATAAATTTTTTTCTAAAAAAAATCTTAAAATACAAAATAATTTCAAATTATTACTTTGTGATATTAAATTTACCCCCTCTTCCAAAATAATGACTCATAATTTCCTACACCTGCGATTAACAACAGATTTCCCTTTTTTCTTTTATTTTTTTTAGCTTTTACCTAAGACTAGACTTCATTTTTTACTTCTCTTGGTTCAATCTCTGGGCAACAATTTCTTTTTTTACTGAAATTTCGTTTTTTCCATTTAAGACAAGAAAGTGAAATTATAATTAAAGAATACTATGAAATTATTTTTTTTTTCTTCAGTATAAGTAGATTGTTTACAATTAATTATATCAAATAATTGAACCGGGCCTTTAGACTTAATGGTTCGACCCCAAACCTTAAGTGCTTGGATGAGGTGGTCGGAGTTTCGAGTTCTACCACCGTTGTGAACTCCACCAAAAAGCGATCCAATGGCCGTGCGCCTCATTTGAGGGGGTGGAATATTCACTCGGTCTGAGAATCGAATCCCAGTTGTTAACAACTAATTCAAACTAACTTATTAAATGTTACTCTTGTAAAAAAAAAAAAAAAGAATTATATCAACTAATTAGTCAATTTAGCTACAGTATTGAGATAAAAACTTGGTTAGGGCAAGCGCGTGCGGGAAATTATGAGATATTAATCTGGAAGGGGTAAGTTTGACATTACAAGGTACTAATTTAAAATTATTTGGTATTTTAAGATTTTTTAAAAAATAATTTTGAAACTCACCCTACTTTTGAATCGTTTTTTTGAGCTCACCCTTTTTAGAATAATCCCTAGTTAATATTACTTTATAGTTAGTTTGAAATTTTAAAAATTTTGAGTTTAAAACATAAATTAAGTTTAAAAAGATATAAATGCGGTGGGTAGATAATTACTAAACAGCAAAACTTTTAAATTCACCCTTAAAGAGAGTTGGGATAAATTTGTTCTTAAAAAAAAAAAGGATAAATTACTCATTCAAATTATTAATTAAGATAAATTAACTATTATTTAATATATGATGTTATCACGCATCAAAAATTTATTTGTCATTTAACTATTTTTTAATAAAAAATTGACATATGATAATATCGCATATTAAATAATAAGTGATTTATTTTAATTAATAATTTAAAAAAAATTATCTTTACATTTTTTTAAGAGATTAATCTATTTCTCCTCTCCCGTTTGAGGAGCAGATTTAGAGATTTTATCTAATTGAATTACTAGATAAATCAATCACTACCCAATGGGTAAAGGTAACGGTAATCTGTATTTTTACTATAAAGGTGATGAGCTGGGTAAAAGTAAAAGAGGGTAAATCCCCAAATGTAATTTTTAAGTTTTGCCATAAAAACTAGATATTATCCTAATCTTTTATTTGGATAAAAAATTTATTCCCAATTTTTTTAAAATTACTAAACTTAATCTTACTATTAGTTACTTCTAATAAGTTCCTAATAAAAATTTAATTGGAAGTTTGAGAGTTCCAATTGAAATTTTTTACAGAAATTTTCTTTTAATTTTCATGACCCTAAAATTATTTTCGCTAAATTTTAAATTATTTAAACACCTTAATTAACTATTCTTTTTTTAGAAAAATGTTGGGGAAATTCTATTTTTTTCCGTGTAGATAAGTGTTTTTATATATCTCATGGGTTGTAATCCTATAATTTGAAATGAATTTTTATTTCAAACTTATTAATGTCTTTTATAAAGTAGTAATTTGGATGGCAAAATTACAATTAAAAAAATTTTGGGTTATGAAATTTATCATATTATTAAAATATTAAGTTATATTAAAAGTTTTTAAGATTAAAGCAAGGACACTGCACTAAGTAGAAGGTTAAAAAAAATGATATTTGGAGTTTTTCAAAAGAAAAAAACAATATAGGATTGAGATGTTAAAAAAAAATGAGAGAATAATGGTTTTGGTTTTGGTGATTTTTACCCAGCTCAAAAAATGAAAAAGAAAAAATAATGGTTTAGTGATTTTTTTTTTCTTTTTCTATTTAGAGGTTTTGGTGGCTTTCAAAACTCTAATTAAGATTTTTATTAGAAAATTTAATGAAAGTAACTAATTATAGGATTAGATTCGGTAATTTTTAAAAGACTTAAGACCATTTCTAATTTAAATAAAAAGTTGAAATAAAATCTAATAGTTACAATAAATATTGAAAACTAAATTTGATATATACCTAATAAAAAATTACCAAAAGTAATCGAGAAAGAATAAATAGAATACTTACCCAGAAAGTAGTAAAACACAATGTAGTGCGTTAGCACGTCTTTATCCAGCGCATTGGCATTTCCTATGCAACATGCTTGAATTTGGCTTTTCATTTTTTTTAGTTTTATAATAAAAGGGTTTTTTTTTTTTTTTTAAAAAAAAAGAGAAATAACCGAGTATCATAATTATTTAAGTTGTTGGTATGCTAGATTGATATTGAAATTGTATTGAATTGATATTGAAATTGTTTTGAATAAATAGAACGCAATTTTCTTTAATTTGCAATTTCACCTTTTAACTAAGAAGACTTATTAATCTTGAAAATGACAGACCTAAAATAAATTTAAGTTAAATGACTTATACAATAAGAAATGTCAATTTTATGGTTTATTTTTTTTATTCAAGTTATATGTTAAGTGAATGAGTATATATCTATATATGTAATATCATATTTATCATTATACTTAAAATTGGTGTGCAAGCAACCATGTATCCTTGGATAAAGCTTCTTTATAAGAGTTACTACTTTTATTTCCATTTATCTATTTATATAATTAATTTTGTACATAATTTTAGGTGATATGTTTATACTTTATATAATATATATAAATAATAATTAAAATTTTATTTTTTAATATGTAATAATTATTGAGTAAGTTTATTTGATAAAAAAAATTTATTTGTCATTTATATATACTATATAAAGATATTACCTAAAGTTAAGTTAATTAAAATTATTAAAGCAAAGATCAATAGGAATGGAGATGGTACCATTGAAAACTGTCAACAAAGCTTTTCATAAACAACTTTCCCACCGGAAAACTTGCTAAAAAATAAACGGCCCCAAAGACAACCCAATATAATGCTGAAACTAAAGACCAAAAAAGTCCAAAAGGCAAAAATATCAAAGATAGAAAAAGATGCACACGCCGAGTAAAGACAAGAGCTAATCTCCTGAGTTCACTCTCATATCCCCACTATATTAAGCCTAAACTGCAGCAACCCAACATAATGTAAAGAACCCCACTTTTCACATTAATTTATTTATTATTACTACACTTACAAATTGCCCACACCAAAACCAGGAAAAGCATGGCCTTGGGAGGCTTTTAAACCATGTGCCAGAGAGACCATCCCCTGCAAATATGGCAAAAAGGTTTATCCCCATCCATGTGCAACGTGCTATCCAATTGTGACTTTTATTTCTCTGCTTGGGACTCTCCATTCCCATCTTCCTATTCCCTCTCCAAACACCTTTTGTCTGCCACATTCTCACCTGAACAGAACTTTGCTGCCCTAATGTCAGCTCTGAGGGCCCAAAATTAGCTCACTCTGTTAGGATGAGACGAAAATTGACGCCGATACTGAACCGACAAAAATGACCATAACAAGGGTATGGATTTATATCAATTTGATAAAAAGAAAAAAAAGACTAATAACATGGTCAGCTTGTATGCACTTTGAAACTTATCCCTTTTTAATTTGATTAAATGTATATCATTCATAAATTATTTTTTCATTAATCTTTTCAAATAATCAAATTTTGATCAATACAGTGAAAGATAAACTTTTTTATCAATTAAATCATAATTTCTTAACAAAAGTTATAAACTTTTTATTAAAAATGAGTTTTGGTACAAGAATCACTATCCCACTTTATTTATTTATTTTTGAGTTGCATAACAAGAAGAGATTTTTCATTAGCTCTCTTTTATTATTATTATTATTGTTTTTACACACTTCACCTATAATTCCATTCATTGCCTCACTTATTTCTTTAACCACAGAAGCATTTTAGTTAAAATTAGATTGACTGGCGAGATCTTTCCTTTTAAAAAAGATTGGATCTACGATTCTTGACTTTCTCTTTAATGTTGGAAGAATCCAATTTACCTAAAACTTTCCACTTTCTCCGGTAGGCCAATGTTTCATTCAAAATATTAAAGATTTAAAGGCATAATAAATTGAATGAGGGAGGATGGATATTAGCAATCACCCATGCTTTTGCCCAATTAGAAAATTTCCCACCGAGAATAAGGTCCCAGGGGTAATGAGAATATATATCCCATTCAACCATTAATTACTAAAAAAAAAATTTTCCATTGAAAGAAAAACAAAATCATTGAAAGATATCCAATCAGATCTGCCCATGAAATGATTCAAAGATGAATCGTACCTCAACTCCATCTCTCTCTCTCATTTGCTGTACAACCACAAGAATTCAGTCTCACTCGACATTGTGGGGCTGACCTCCCAACTAACCCCAACTAAAAACCAAAACTTTCTCCTAAATTTCCATGATTATTATAGCTATAGATTTATTGCTACATACCTCAGTGTTGACCAAACTTGATCCAAGGAACCATGTGGCTTTGGCAGCATCATTAACAGAGAGGAGCTCGCCGAGGAATGCCTTTTCTTTTGTGTAATTGCTTCCTTGGCTTTAAGGTTGATGATTTCAACCAAACTCCAGTCTCCTCAGAGATGTCAATTGAAGAGAGTGATGACTCCTTTTCATCCGTACTTATTTCTTCAGGGCGGTAGTTTTCTTTCAAGGAAATATCAGCAACTTTCTGTATTGAGATAAACATGCCATTTCTTTGGTCTTTAGGCTTCATAGACACAACAGAAACCTGCCAAATATTTTCAATAATCTGTACATTTAGATACAATTAATGCAGGGAAAAAGAATCAAGAAACAATTCAATGGAAGTAACAATTACCTTGCATGCAATGGAACAAAAGCGATTCGGCATGTCTTGTAGGTATCTTCCACAAGCTTCACAAGCAGTACCAGTTTTTGATTTTGTTGATGGTTTTGTATCTTTGGATTGAGGCCTAGGATTTAAATGTACAGCCTTTTCACCATTGATTTTATATGTCTGTCCAATTATATTAGATTGATTCATTCATAACCCCAACAATTAAAAGAACAATTGAAACAAACACCCTAATTCACATAGTAATCTTTAATAAAAGAGTATTTGGGGATACCTGAATTTTAGAGCAATCAAGATACTTCTGCATGTCCTGAAGTCGAACCACATCATGGTACACATATTTGAGGATCTGAAGGTACCTGTGGACACAATGAGTCTTGATGCAATGCCTGCAAAATCCATGATTGCAGTCGATGCAGAATACGTTCTTCTCGTTCTTCCTGAGGTCTTCATGATTAGCACATGAACCAAAGAATTTGCTCCTGAGAAGAGTACTCAACCAATCTGATTGTTTCTTTATCAAAAACCTGCATCCTACCTGCCACAAGCACAACAAAATGTTTATCACGTGTCTTTCAATCAAATTAACAACCCTGAAATCAATTTTCTCAGCCGCCAAACAAAACAAGAAAAGATTTAATCATGACACTACAATTTAACAAAGATTGAAATCTCTTAGATATCTAAAAGAACTAATAATCTCAACAAACTGATTCAGTAAAGTCAGAAATTTCAGATTTCATCATATCGCGAATTCAATTCCTCCTTTTTGGAATCTTAATTTCTTAGCCGCCAAACAGAAGAAGATCAGCAGACCAACAATCCTGAAAAGATGGAATTTTTTTAAATAAAACTCACAATTATAACAAACGAAAATGAAAAACGTACCTTGATTCGAATTTCTAGATTGCATGATAGGAAACTAATAAATTCGTTCTTTTTTAATCTAAATTTTCTTAGCCGCCAAACAGAGGAAGATTCAAGACTAGCAAATTTAACTTCAATCGAGTAAGAATAAAAAATCAATTGAATTTATTCAGAGACTACTAAAATTGTTTCGTTTTCTGAAATCTCAATTTTCTCAGCCGCCAAACAGAATAAAAAAATTACCAAATTAACTTCCAATAACCTAAAATTAAGAGAATTAAACACCCATCAATCATCAACAACACTTTAAGATCTCCGTTTGCCCAGAATCAAGCAAATTCAAGAAAAAAAAAATCAAAACAGACACACTGACGATCATGAATTAGTGGAAACAGATTGAATTCTCACCATTCTCTCGCTTCAAATTGAATTGAATCTTCTCGTAGCGATTCAAAAATTAAAAAGAAAAAAATCAGATAAAAGATAAAAGAGAAGCGGAAGAATTGGAAGAACAGAGGAGTTTGAGGGAGAGAAAATAAAGGGAAAAAAAGGAGAAGAAATGAAAGATACAGAGTCTGAATGTGAAATTAAGGAATTAAAATAAAAATGGAAATGGCTGAGACTAACAAATAATGGGTTTTTGTCTCCTCTCTCCTCCTACCCTAGGCGGGAAAAAGAAAGGGTAAGTGAAAAAAAAAATAATAATAATAATAATTATTTTTATTTTTATTTTTATTTTTTACAGCTGTTTGGGTGGTTCAGTCAAAGTAATGGTGTGGAAAATGGAAACCGGAAATGGGTTCAATTATACATATACAGCATATCGTAAAATCAGCAATCAAACAGTTCTAATTTGGCACTGATTGATTCATTTTCCAAATTTGAAATTGATTAATCGGATGAGTACTCCTTGTATTGATTTAACATGGTCTAATTAGATACAAAATGTCCATCTTCACGATAATGTTTTGCTTATAATTCTGACGGTGTCACTATATGATAGAGCCTTTTGATTCGAGAGGAAATGCAATATAATATATATATATATATATACATATTTATTTATTTTAATAAATACAATATTATTCTCACATAAATTATGACTAACAAAGTATCAAAAATAACTAATTATAAAATTATTTAAACAAATAAAAAAGAATAATCTTTAACTAAACTAGTTAAAAGAAAATAACAATTTAAAATACAATTCATCAAAATATGAGATATTAAGATATTTAACTTCACCATAATCAATTAATATAAATTTTAAATGATTATACTTTTAAGATATTTATTATTCATACGAAAATAAAATTTTTTATTCTATTTGATATACTTAAATTGCACTAAATTGATTTTCACTTATTAACTTACTTTATCTCTATATAAAATTAAATAGATAAAAATATATTATATTTTGTGAAATTTTTTAATTTAAATAAAAACTTTTAAATTTATTTATTATTAATACTATACAAATTATATTAGTTTATCTTTAGCTTTTATTCAATTCAAAATATATGTTATTATATAAAATTTATTTTTGATCTCAATTGTACTGTTTATGCAATTTTAATGGCTATAAAGCAATAAAAAGCATTAAGAAAATATATACTCATCATGAAATACAATCCTAAAAGTATAAAAACTATAAAAATTTATATCAAATTGATTTGTCTAAATTATAGTTTTAGTAGATTAAATTAGTTTATAATAAAAATATTAAAACTTAAAATTAAAATTATAACTATAAAAATATCAAATAATAAATAAAAATACTCTAAAAAAAAAACAAAACTCAATATTAAAAAAAGTTAAAATTTTTGATATTTCATAATCAATAAATTTTTTTACTACCTTTGCTATCTTAATCTCCAAATGCGTCTTAAAAGAATTCCGAAGGAACTCCAAAAGCCTCTCAATCATGATTCTAAATTAAGTATTTATAAAATTTTAAAAAACTTAATCAAAATAAAAGGACCCACGTCAAAATAATAAATAAGAATATAATGTGGACTTTATGAAAATTGCCCGAGGGATTGACACCTAAAGCTGAAGTCCCAACACCTTCACTTAAATCGGTGATTAACGTCTGGACTTTTAGGCCGAAAGCAATTTTGTTCAATGAGAAAATAACAGTACTGGGCCCTAACTTCTGATTTCTACACACTTTAATCCTCATATTTTTTATCCCTTCGATTTGGTTCAAATTCGGTCAACTAATTCATTCTTTGACTTTTTGAAAGGTAGTGAATTAGTCCCCAAATTTGCGATTATTTCCAATTAGGTCTTTTTTTAATGAACCATAAAAATCATATAAAATCTAATAAAATTATATTAAACTCATTTAACTATCAATAAAATTAAGGTAAAATCAAACATAATATAATATCTATGAATTCTAACCTATCAATTTCCCCCTTTTATTCTTGTGGCATTTGCGTGACAAATTTTGTGATGCTACGTAAGTGTTGAGGTGGATTTCTATTAGTCAAACTAGCGGATTAACTATGAAAGTTATGGATGGATAATATTCGGATTAAAGCCAATTATCATCCCTCTACTTTCATTTTTTGTTCATACCCATCCCTCTACTAAGAATTTATTCATTGTCATCCCTCTATTTCCCAAGCACTAATCAACGTCATTCCTCTACTCACCTTTTCCATTCAATGTCGTCCTTATTTGGACGGGTTGCTTGCGCCGTTTATTTTGACCGTTATATGCCGTCAATCAACCGTTAACACAATTCTTTAATTTTTTTCCCTTGTTCCAACTTAGTGGGAACCACTCCTTTTCATCATCTTCCACTCAGCCATTCCCTAAACTCAATCCTCTTTTTTGCATGAACCTAATGCCCAGCCCAAAATTAAATGAAATTAACATTTTCCAACTCACTTTACACGTTGTTAGGATATATTTTTACTTTTAAAGAAAAAATTATAATTAAAAATAAACAATGAAAGAGTTTATTATTTTATAATTTAAATTATATGAAATTATAAAATAAAAATCTTTCAATGGAGAAGAATCTCAATCTCAATGTCAGAGAATCATTTATTATTCATGGATTCATATTTTTTAGTTTTGTATAATCTAAATTATAAAATATTTTCAATTATAAAATGCAAAATAATATTTTATCTTTAATAAATTGTATTAAATAATAATAATATAATAAAACAATATATAAACCATACACTACTCTATTATTATTCTTAAAATACCACTTTAGATATCATATAAATGTATAAAGTTAAAATATAACAAATCACTATTTTTTAATAAATAACATAATAAATCAATCAAAATATTGTATTGAAGTGACAATTAGTTTTTAAAAATACTTTCAAAATCTATTGTATATTTTCAAAAAGAAAACTTATTTAAGAAATGTTGTTATATAAAATAATCTTACACTTAAATACAATAAGAAAATTTAATTTTATCAATAAAAAGGTGGTTTGTGAGACAAAAATCAAGGGGTAAAGAAAACCTTTAAAAGTGGAATTGAAGAAATATACTAAGTGAAAAATTATAATGACTAAATTTTTTTTTTGTTATGTTATGTTAAGTTGTTTTTTTCTTTGTTTCTTTTTATTTCTTAGTCTGAACTTTATAGTGCTATTTATGATATTAATTACATGCTAACTTTTTTTTTTTAATTATTGAGAAGTTTATTATATCACTTCTTGTTAACATATCAGTAGAAGTTTATTATATCTCTCTTATGCCCAAATACCTTTCAGTTTTAACTAACAGATTAATAAGGAGTGATATAATAAACTTCTCACTAATTAAAAAAAAGTTAGTATATAACTAACATCACAAAATAGTATTGTAAAGTCCAAACCAAAAAACAAAAAGAAAGAAAGAAAAAACAACCTAACATAATATAATAAAAAAAATTTTAGTCACAATAATCTTTCACATAACATATTTCTTCTATTGTTGTCTCACAAACCATCTTTTTGTTGATAAAACTAAATTTTCCTTTTGTATGTAAGTATAAAATTATTTTATATAACAACCTTTTATGAATAAGTTTTTTTTTTGAAAAAATACAATAGATTTTAATAGTATTTTTTAAAAACTAATTAACACTTCAATACTATATTTTAAGTGATTTATCATGTTATTTATTAAAAAATAATGATTTATTATATTTTAATTTTATAAATTTATATGATATCTAAAGTAGTATTTTAAAAATAATAAATAGAATAGTATACGATCTACAAATTTCTTTATGATATTATTATTATTTAATATATTTTATTAAATGTAAAAGATTATTTTAGTATTTTATAACTAAAATCTTTTTGTAATTTAGATTATATTATATTACAAAATATAAAACCTTAAATAACAAAATAAACTCTTAATACTGAAAGTCTTTCCCATAAAAGATCTTTATTTTGCAAT